AGGAACATAATATAGAGAAGAGATCCAATAATAAATGTATTCATGTTCCAACAGAAGAAAAGAAGTACATCTGAAAATCTAAAATAAGAGTAATAATTTTCTAAACACAAGAGTCAACTGAAAATAGTAATAAGGCACTCAGTCTCCAACATGAAATACATCTCTAAGACTGAAAACAAATAATAAGCTATTGTGAAGCACTAATTAACTACTAATAGATGACGGTGAGTTAGACTGAATCACCGTCAACCTGCGACTCTCCGGACGCCTGACTCACTGCCTAAAAAAGATGGAAACGAGTATCAAAGCGCTAGCGAGATCATCTCCACCGCCCCTAATGAGAAGGGGTTGGGTGTATAAAAAATATAAGATATAGCATATATAGATATAATAATCATATGCATTGAACTAAGAGGAATTAAGATTTAGAAATCCACAATAGGAGAATGTGTACGTCGAGCGAAATAATCTAAACAAGAAAACCCTCATATATATATACTGCGTTTCTCAAATTGTGGATCACTAAACATCTGCTCCAAAATCCTATGAATAAAAAGAATAAACAACGGACAATACATTACCAAACCTCATAAAAAAGAACAAGTTGTATCATAATGTCTCACGCTACCTTCGGGTAGTTGACGTGGGAACAATAATAAAAATTCGATAAATGATCTCATCTAGGATACGTCGTGCATGACAAACTATAACCTTACATTCTATCCTCGAGGTAGGTAACACGTGATCAAATTTACAATTTTGTGATCCTTTACAAAGAAAATAATGATGCTACGTAAGGCGCTCACAATATCCTGTGGCTCATCGTAATATTTTGCGGCTCACTACCTTACTCGAACACCCTGCGGAGTATAGGCATGTCAACCTATTCCAGAATACAATGATGCATAATGGAGTATAGTCCACTGCAGTCTCATTGCAGTATATCAACTAACCCACTCTGAGTGTAGTCAGCCACGATCTCATTGCGGTTAAGGTTTTAAATATCGGTTATTGAGGATTTATCAGATAGTCAAAATCCATATTGGATAGCGGATATCGGAGATATGTCGGGGATAAGTAGTATTTATCGAGTGACGTTATCAGATGGTGATATACATAATTAGGGGTGGGCAAAAACCGAAACAAACCGGTTCAACCGAAAAAACCGCCCGAAAAAACGGATCGGTTAACCGAACCGAATTAAATGGATGAGAAGAAGTCTCTAAACCGCCCGAACCGAATTAAACCGGTCTGGATCCGGTTTGAACCCCTGAACCGCCCAAAAAAAACCGAACCGAATTCTTAAACAAAAAGTAGCTGCGAGCCTTGGGTGTGAAGAAAATTTATGGCTGAATGTTTAGCATTTAAGAATTATGGGGTGGAGTTTATACTAACATATATTTGAGTACGCTGATATAGTTAAGTGAGATTTCCGTAAATCAATACAAGATGTTGAGGTTGAAGGATAAATTTAGTGTTTTGGTCAAATTTCAGTGATAACATGAATACAGCTTGCTGGTGCTGGATATCAAATTAACCTATAGTATAGGCTGTCAAGGATATAAGATAATTCTTGATGAGAAAAAGGCATCTAAAAATTAACGAAAATCATCAAAAGGTGTGTGTGCCTGCCAAACATTGTTCTTTCTCTAAAAAAGGCTACATAATTACATGGTCCTCCTAGTGTATTAAGCTAGTTATATTCAGATCATACAATTTGATTAAGTGGCTTAGTACAGTTTTGATTGTTTCCTTTCAGTTTTGATTGCTTCTTTTCAGTTTTGGATATAACTAAAACTTACCCAGATTTTTGTGAAATGGAGTTAATTCGGTTCAAAACCGAAACCGAACCGAACCGAATTTCGGTTGGGCCGAATATTCGGATGAAGGGGGAAAAATCTGGATCTGGATGAGAGTTTTGAGAATCCGAAAAATTCGGATTGGATGCGGATTGGGCTTAAAACCGAACCGAACCGAATACGCCCAGCCCTATACATAATATAATATTCTAAAATATAATCTAACCATACTTAATGAAATATAAACGTACCAAAATATAAATAATTATGTTTAGAATCACTAACTAATGATAGAAACTCGGGTCGGGTTTAAATTGCATTGAATAGGTGCTCGTTGCCTGAAATCAAAACTCAACTCAAAGACTGATAGTTTCGATTTTTGGACTGATAATATCGGCCAATAACTCACCTTATCGTCGTATTATCGGCGATAAACATCCAAAAACGATAACCGATTTAGAGTCAAACTTATCATAGCGGAAGACCCCCAAAACCGATAAATCATCGATAATATCGGTTTATCGGTTGATATTTAAAACATTGATTGTTGTGCACCAACCCCCACTCAAACATCCAAAACTACCGTAGAATGAAATAAACTTTACTCTATCATAACAAGCTCAAATATTAAATTATGCACTTCTAAAAGCTTGTGCGTGCTCAACACAATTAGGGGTGGCAAATGTGTCGGGTCAGGTCAGGTCATAGTTGACCCGACCCGTTCGTTTAAGTGTGGCCCGATCCGACTCGTTTAATAAATGAGTCAGTACGATCCTACGCGTTTATTAAACTTGTTACCCGACCCGATCAATATAATTTTATCAAAGTTCACGACATTACTATATCAAAGTCCAAATAATGTATTTTTTCCTATAGCCGGTCCCTCATATCTTTAAAATTGCTCTAAGATTGTTGCAAATTAGCCCCTCACTGACTAAAATACTATGAACTCGTGTTTTCCCTCCAAAACCTTTATTACATGAGCTGAGGAGCTGAGGAGCAGTTTGGTCATCGAGGGGCAAATTTGCGAGACCCTTTGGGACTTGAGGGTCTTAGATGGAAACTAATAAGGATTTGATGACCAAGTTGTAAAGAACTATTAAAATAAAATAAAGTTGCAACTAAGTAGCTCAGTGTATCAGAGCCCTACACCCATCTGTGCCTTCATCTCCCCTCCAGTCACTCCATTTTATAGTTTCCATTATTATTTTATTTTCCCTCACACTAGACAACAGGTTATGACACAGGTAGAAGAGAGGCAGGTAAATAACTTAATATTTTTATTTTTTAATAAAGGGGTCAGATCCTATCGAAACTGGAGGCGGAGGAGGGGGTGTTCGGCCTCGTCTGCAAGCGGTGGCTCCGTCTCCAACGATGCTCCGGCGACTCGCCACTCGCTTCCCCTCGATCCTCCATCTCGACCTCTCCCAGTCCTCCAGATCCTTCTATCCCGGCCTCACCAATCCTGATCTCTCCGTCATCGCCTCCGGATTCCCCGCCATCTCGAGCTCCGACCGCTCGACGCTGCTTGTCTCCACTTGTTCACCGTCACTCGTCGTCACCTCTCTCCAATCCCCGCCGCTCGCTGTTTGCCGCTGCTTGCCGCCGCTCAAGTTTAAGTGATGGGAAATCTAGGGCTTCTTTTATGGAGACGAAGGGAGAACGAGTTGCTAGAGGCTGATTCACTTAGTTATTAGGTCGGTGTTTACGGATCAGGTGTTTGTGTTATACGGATCAGTTCGGATCAACTCGAATTGATCCATTTATTAAATGAGTCAGTTTGGGTTGACCCGTTTATGACCCGACCTATGTTACTCGACCCATACCCATTATAAACGGGTCGGGTCGAGTTGATCGGTCAGATCATAAATTGTCACCCCTAAACACAATACGCGCTCTCTCATGGTAACACACGTACATCGACGGACGATTCGTACTTTGTGTTCATGATCAAAAGCATGTGGGAAAGAAACAATATTTTTCAAACAGCACAAAACCGGTCGACTGATATCTCCCATCAGTTGACCGATGAGGACGTCCACAACAAATGCACAAAATCCAGCCTGGATTGGTCGACCAATGCTTATAATCGGTCGACCGACCAGGGCAAAATTTTTACTTCCTGAAGACTAGTTCGGTCGACTGATTCTCTTGATCAGTCGAGCGATGCTGGGGTCAGGTCAAAGTGTCAAGTTTTTATCTACAATACATCAAAATCGAAAACTTTTGAATAAAACTCATGTGTTAAATCTTGTTTAAGGTAATTAGGGTTTATTTTCTTGCATGAAAACACAATTATGAATATTGGAGAGGATCTACGAACCCTAACATGTAATATTTGTAAGTTCATCATGAAAACCAATCAATTTAGTAAAAATCTCGTGTTTACTTACTTAAAATAAAAAATTCAACTCAAGGATCCGTTTTCATAACTTTTTATGTCTGAAAGATCAAATCTTTATATCATACAAAATAAAGGGGCAAACTTTACACATAAAATAGGTTTTAGAAATCCAATAAAAACCAAGAAGAACCAAGGAAAACGGGATGTGATTGGAGCAAATGAAACTCGCCTCAAAGATTCGTGTTGAACTCCCAAACACGCGAGAGACACGATCCTCCTTTGTCAAAAGCCACCGATCTCCCCCTTCTTTAGGTCCTTTTGCTTCTCAAGGCTCTCCAAATACTCAAGTAACTCAACTGATGAATTAGGGTTTTGAGGGGAAGGGTGGTTGCTGATTAACGTGGGAATTACAGAAGAAAAGATGAGAAAAATCGGGTATATATCATATATATAGGTGTGTGATCAAACATGCCCAAATCTGACCCGACCTGAACCCAATCTCTGTGCATCCGTCAGTCGACTGGTCTCTAGGCATTAGTCGACCGACCAGAGATTGGATTTCAGTCAACATGTTCTTGCATACATGCATGTTTACGCTTATATATTCATATATGCACTTAATCGATCTCAAATTGATTACTAACATACTCATTCATCCTAGAATAATATTAACCATAATAAAATTCATTTAATACTATTTATCATAATATTTTCAAAATTACGGGGTTTTACACATTGTCACTGCCACCAATATTTTTTATTGAGCCAAGTACCTTGACTGGAGGCTTTTCTCCCCCTAAATCCCTATGGACAAATATTGAATGTATATTTAATTTATCACATTAGTCTTTTCTATTTGAGCCTTTTGGTAATTTAATTACTTACATTATTGTTTTCCACAGGGATATCTAATTGAACGCAACCCTGAGAGTGCTGCTGCCGCCATAAATCTTATGCATCAGGTAGGATGTGATGTGTACATTATTCCAGGATCAGAGCCTTAGCAAGTTGTACTGAATTTAGTCATAAATACATCTTGTATGTTGTTAGCCTACTTCAAAATGATCCATCTCTTAATCCCCAGTAATTATTGTTTAAATATTTATTTATTTTCAATAAGTTCAACTAATAAGGGAAATGATACTATATATACGATATAAATATTGGTCAATTACAAGTAGAATAAATACTATACTATTTATGTTTGCTCCAGTTATTAGCAGAGGTGATGCTAAATGTGGATGTATTTATTCATATCTGAATCTGTATTCACTTAAACAAATGAAGACAGAAATAGAATTAAGATATTTCAACCCTAATCGCATAATATGAATAAGAGCAATCCCAGGGTCCCAAAAGGGGGTAATCCCCACCCTGAACGACTCTAATACATGAAGTTATTCTAGAAGAGTAAGATCCAATATTAAAAAAAAACACTGTCCAATGTAAGAACACAAGTAGCACATCTATGTCTCACATCTCAGTGTGTTGTATAAATAATCTGGTTTCTGTTCTTATAGTCAGCACCTATATGCTAAATTCTGCAGGTCAATGCTAAATTCTGGTTTTAATATCCTAAGGAGAAAGCCCTGCCCAAAGTACATTGCGTTGTTAATATCCTTAATTTGATCCTCTCTTTCTTTTAGAGGCAGTGGGACAACTTGCATTATGCTCAGTACATAGCTTCTGGGATACTGCTCTGCTAGTGATGCCGTCTCTCCTCTTCTTTCCTAAAGCTCATCTCCTCTAGTCTCCAGTACGAAAGTTCCTTTTCTAAGCTAAACATCCGTTTTTCGGTAAAGCCTTTATGATCTCCTCCTAAGCGTTAGAGGTGTATCTACATCTGAGCAAGAGATGCTCCAAACGAAGTTGGCCCTAAATCCAGCTCTCCGCACATATGAATCAAGGACAATTCATTTAGTACTTTTTATAGGATCAGGAACCGTATAGATGAAAAGTTCTTTCAGATTCTCTGTATGTTCAAGTATCAGCGCTTTGCTTGCACTTTTACTGGCTATAATTTTTTTTTTTGGATATTTGCATTTAAATTTACAGAATGTATTCACAGGACCTCCCTGATAAGCAGAAGGCACTTATTGCTGATGAACTTCAGAAGTTGGTAGTTGAATGGACCAAGCAGGTTATGAAAAAACGAAAGAAAGAAGACAGGGAGGTAAGTTTTGTTTGATGTTATTACTTAACCAGTATTGTCTTGAAATTGAAATTGGACTAATTGCTTTTCTATTTGGCAATAGATCACCTCGTATATGTTATGCATTTATACTGTGATTCTTTTTTCTAATCTTCTTTCTAGATATTTCAGTTAAATGCGCAGGAGTTTTGCCAACTAGCTACTTGTTTTCTAGGAAAAAAGTTCAATTATAATTTTGAAATCTAATTATGAGATATAGAGGCAACTAGGGGTCTTAATTTATCTATTTTAACATTCGTAAGATGGAATTTTCAAAATCCTGTTACATGTCTGTTCTACACATAAAAGTTATATTCTTTTTTGCACGTCAAGAACATTATAACATGTTGAAATTATCCAAAGTGGAGCGAAAAAAGTTCCTTATAGGAAAGGTTTCTCAATCTCTGTCAGATTTATGATTATAACTACATTATTTGAGTTATTTTTTCCCTCGCCAATTCTTATTGTTTTGCTTGCCATGTAATGTAGCTCAACTTGTTTTTGTGTCCTCAGTTTTGCTCATGTCGCATTTTCATTAAAATGTTTCACCAGTTTCTGTTGATAGATTTTGAATTGTTTCCCCTGCTTCGACTCTCTTACAAGTTATATCCTTCTTTATCGTGTTTTAAGCAGGAACTAGCTGAAGCCCTGAAGAAGGACATTTCTGCAATGGTCGCTTCCTTGTTAAACATGGGGATAAGTGCTAATGTGAACGTAGAGGAGCTCAGGTGCTAAGTAGAGAAACATTAAGCTATTGTCGTGTGGCGGTTCCTATGTTTAACACACACTGGCAAAATTCTGGTGCTAATGGTCGTGTGGCGGTTCCTATGTGAAAGTCGAAGATGAAATGCATAACGATGAGTTATTTGGCCATTTCTTGGGAGCACCCTCCAGATCCTGAGCATTCATATCCTATCAATCAATATAGCATTTGTTTTTGTTCCAAATTTTCCGTGGGTAAAATTATCTTGTGATTTAACAATGAGTTGTTTAAGCCGTCTTTTCCAGATTTAGCTTGAGATGCAAATCCGACAAAGCGATAGGATTTTTGAGAATTGCAGCAGTTCACATAATAAAGTTGTAACAAACATAAGCACTTACGGGTTCATACGCGTTAAGAATCCTCTATTTTGCTCTTTGTGCAAACTCAAATGTATGTTTACAGCCAGAAGTTGATTGAATGGTATACTGTGCTTTGGTTGAAGAAAGCCATCACTCTTTACTCATAATATTGTGTATGATGGCTCATTGTCAGATTTCTACATAATCTAGGAAATCTTTGGGATCTAATGCCAACCTAAAAGTTTGATATCCTCGAATAAAGTTCCTGCATTCTTTTTTACGCACGGTTGCCAACGTAAGGAGTCGGCCATCTTATCAGATGGAAATTTCTTTAATTGCTAGTGGAGGAATGTTCACATACAAAATTACTACAGTGAAGGGAATGTGAAGCCCTCGTGAAGCCCTTGTGCCCTTCAATATAAATATCATTCTTTTGGGGACATGAGGGGCTGCTGATAGCTGTTGGGATGACAAAAGACATTTGCTTCAATCTAAAGGCATGAATACTTTCCACTGTCTGCTGAAATTATCCTTGTTGCCATCAAGCATGACCTCAATAGGACCTAAATTATGACAATTATTGGTTTATCACAGGAAAAATATTCAAAAGAAAATTCACTCATGAAGATCCTAAGATTCACTCTTTAGGATGTAGTCTGGTACTTGAGTTGTTACTCTCTGCATTGTTTTGTTTCGTAGTCGTGTATCATGTCATCCTCCTTAAATATATTTAACTGTGAGCATTAAAGATATAAAATGTGGTCATTAAAGAACAGATCTATGAAAATTTTTCTAAGAAACTTAAAGAAGCCAATGATGTGTTTTCACCCTTTTAAGCGTAAAGAGGATCCTATGTTGTTACCAAGAAAGAAATAAAAAGAGGTCTAATGTTGACGTAAAAGGACTATACATGATAGTGAAGATCACAGATGGAAAAGGGAAAGGAGAGAATCTAGAAAAGGAAACAAGACATACAACAAAGAAATAACAAAAATGAAAGTTGAGTGTAAGGGTGGATAGATATATAGCCAATTCTCTCTGCATAGATCAACAGGGATTAGTTACTTCATTATTGAAGTTCTACTGTTTGCATGGTTCTGGTAACTCACGGTGAGTGTAGTGGATCTCTAAGTTGAACCAAAATGATTTTTATTTATTTTTAGTTATAAAACAACGACATTGGCAATCACTCGTTAGATAGTTTTTGTATTTAGGCGCGCGGTATGAATAGATCTTGCCTTTTGCTATAAATGATTGTCAGTTGAGGGTTATAATAGACGGAAGTACTTATTAGAATGTTATTCTTCATGTTACGGAAGTACTTATTAGAATGTTATTCTTCTTGTTCAATATATTTCCTTAATATATATTGTAGCTTATCAAATAACTTAATTAATTTAGAGTCTCTTCCAGTACACCAAAATCTAAAGGTGTAACAAAAGTTAAGGTTTATAACTTTTTAAATTAACATGCTTCTACAGGTTGCATTCTTTTCTAGAGTAGAAACCTAGACTTTCACAGGTTGCATACATTTCGTACGTAGAAACTTAAGACTACTTTACAACTAAATGTCATTCAGAAAGTCTCTTCCACACGAACTAAATTTATAGAGTTACGATAAGGGTTGAGCTTGATAGTTTGATAATTTGACGCATAATGAGTGTACAATAACACTGTTATGTTCTTTAAAACTTTATATCAATTCTTGTGCAATGTTATTAATTTCGCCTCTAATTTCAACCATAAAGTATGGTGGGCTAATACATATTGTTAGTGACCCGTGTAACAAGCGAACTCTTCATGGATTAGACCAGACGTACATGTGAAATTCTCACATGGGGGTGCGCAGAACTTATGTTACTGCTAAAACAATTTGTAGGGACAAAGGCACGTGTATACCCCTAATCCATGGGCATGGTGAAATTAGGTGCATGGAAAGCGCAAAGGACTAAAAAAGACGAGCCCAAATACTATTACATGATCCAATGAGACGCATGCATGTGGACAAGACTTCGTATCACTTCCATTCTCCAACCTTTAATTTTTCTTCTTCTAATAATAAGCACTTGGCTGATTCCCCCCCACCTCCGTATATAGAAGTAGGCATGTACATCCTTGTATTTTTTTAGGGGTTTTTGTCTTTAAGCCCATTTGTTTACCTAGCTTTATTTTTAAACCCACTCATTATTAGTTGTATTCTTAAGCCCAATTCATTTTTGGTATTTGTCTTTAAACCCAATTCTAAAATACAATACTTTTACTACTTGTATTTATATAGAATGAATGTCAAAACCCTAAAATACCCCTTTGATTGGCCCCATAAATCCCAGTGTCTCTCTCTCTCATCTTCCCCATTTCACCTCAGCCCATCTCCAGCCGCCGACGCCCCACTCTAGCTGCCGCCGGCGATCTCGGCCCCCGTCACCCTCTCCCGCCTCTTCAAGAACTCCCCCTCCTCCCCCAAAACCCTAACCCTAATCAAGTCCTTCGCCGCCGGCGTCATCCTCTCCACCTCCCTCGTCCACGTCCTCCCCGACTCCTTCCAGGCCCTCTCCGATTGCCACGTGGCTCCCCGCCATCCGTGGCGCAACTTCCCCTTCTCCGGCCTCGGCGGCATCGTCGGCGCCCTCCTGCCCTCCTCGTCGACGTCGTCGCCTCCTCCCGCCTCGAGGACGCCGCTCGGGCCCCAAGAACTACGAGAGGATCGAGAAGGCCGGTAAGGCCGCTGGTGGTGGCGCTGGCGTTTCATCAGGTCTTCGAGGGGATGGGACTTGGCGGATGCATTGCTCAGGTAGAAAATTTAGGTTTTTGTGTAGTATAGTTTGAATCTTTGAGGGTTTGGTGGGGGATAAACCCTACATAATTGCAGCATTTGGAGTTCAACCAAACTTTTAGTATCGATTCTAGGATTTGAGGAATCTTGATGCTAGTATTCTAATACCTTACAAGGAAGTATGTCAGCATCATTTGAGATTGCTTGCATCTAGATATTATATTCTTCTTGGAGCTTAAATCATTTGTTAAATTGTTCCCGTTGAAATAAAATTGTTACATTTGAAGCCATTCTATATATTCAAAGTTACATTATTGCAACTTCCTAAATGTAGAAACACGAAGAAACCCTCTTTCATATCTGAGCTAATATTTGGTTGTGCAAAACTTGCTGTGATGTTACGAATTACTGGTCTTGTGATCAATAGTAATAAAGATTACTCAGTCTTATGATAGGAGGGACATTTTAATGGTAGTCAATTTTTTTAGTGCTATTGTATATCGTTTTTGTTACGCTCTTGCTGTTAGTTATCTTATCCATCAGTATTTCCATTCTAGGATGAGAAGTTGGTGTTAGATTTGAAAATAAGTCATAGTTTTCAAAGCATCTTCCCTATATTGTTATATTCTAGTCCAATCGAAAGTTATTTGCCAGAATTGTTCAACGTACAAAGACTGAGTGTGGCATAAATGAGGTTGTTATGATGGTGAGTGGATAGGCACTAACTCTCTATTTGGTTATGTAAAGTCATTTGTTCATTGAACCGCATTTATCTGCTTTTATCTGAAGGTATATTTTCTATAAGTATAATGTTCATTGAACCGCTTTTAAACTCAACCTATTGTTCTTTTGATCCGCTTATATTTTGCTTTCAGGAAATCAACGTGATCCTCAAGACCAATTCCCCGGATGCTAGATGCCAATTGTGATATCAAGCATTTTTTGTGTACATATATATGTTTGGAAAGTGATTTGTAAAGTCATTTGTATGAAACCTACGGGACAGTTGTTGGTATTGGTTCTGTAATGTCATTTTGTGCAATCATCCACTGTGGTTAAATTACTGGTTATGTAAAGTTTTGTACGCTTCTAAGTCATTGAAATTGATGGTTTATTGCACGTAAAGTTCTATGGTTCAGCGCACCAGCTACATAAAGTTTTCCCTCAAACAGAACACAATATTCTCTTACAGAGATTAGCGTGGTACACATAACCATAACACAACAAAAGGAAGAAAAGAACATAAAATTACATATTGTAAGTATGGCACGTTATATTGTAAGTATAGCACGTTATATTGTAAGTATAGCACGCTAACCTGAAAGTATAGCACGTTAACCTGTAAGTATAGCACGTTAATCTGTAAGTATAGCACATTAACCACTAAGTATAGCACGTTAATCTGTAAGTATAGCACGTTAATCTGAAAGTATAGCACGTTATATTGTAAGTATAACACGTTATATCGTAAGTATAACACGTTATATCGTAAGTATAGCACGTTAACATGTAAGTATAGCACGTTAATCTGTAAGTATAGCACGTTAACCGAAAGGTATTAAGCCATTGTAACCTGCTAAGTATAGTACGTTAACCTCTAAGTATAGCACAGTTAACCTTAATATAACGCTGCTATACTTACATATAACGTGTTTATACTTTTTGATATAAATCGTGTATACTTTTATATAACGCCTGCTATACTTACAGGATAACGTGCTATACTTACAGGATAACATGCTATACTTACAGGATAACGTGCTATACTTACAGGATAACATGCTATACTTACAGGATAACGTGCTATACTTACAGGATAACATGCTATACTTACAGGATAACGTGCTATACTTACAGGATAACATGACAGGATAACATGCTATACTTACAGGTCAACGTGCTATACTTATGATATAACGTGTTATACTTATAATTTAACGTGCTATACTTACAATTTAACGTGTTATACTTACATGTTAACGTGCTATACTTACGATATAACGTGTTATACTTACGATATAACGTGTTATACTTACAATTTAACATGCTATACTTATAATTTAACGTGCTATACTTACAAGTCAACATGCTATACTTACAGGTCAACGTGCTATACTTATGATATAACGTGTTATACTTATAATTTAACGTGCTATACTTACAATTTAACGTGCTATTCTTACAGGTTAACATGCTATACTTACAGGTCAACGTGCTATACTTACATGTTAACGTGCTATACTTACGATATAACGTGTTATACTTATAATTTAACGTGCTATACTTACAATTTAACGTGCTATACTTACGATATAACGTGCTATACTTACAATTTAACGTGCTATACTTACAGGTTAACATGCTATACTTACAGGTCAACGTGCTATACTTACATGTTAACGTGCTATACTTACAATTTAACGTGCTATACTTAAAATTTAACGTGCTATACTTACGATATAACGTGTTATACTTATAATTTAACGTGCTATACTTACAATGTAACGTGTTATACTTACATGTTAACGTGCTATACTTACGATATAACGCGCTATACTTACAATTTAACGTGCTATACTTACAGGTTAACATGCTATACTTACAGGTCAACGTGCTATACTTATATGTTAACGTGCTATACTTACGATATAACGTGTTATACTTATAATTTAACGTGCTATACTTACAATTTATATGAACAGTTAAAACCTAACCCGAAACCCACTTACAGATCAACGTGCTATACTTACATGTTAACGTGCTATACTTACGATATAACGCGCTATACTTACAATTTAACGTGCTATACTTACAGGTTAACATGCTATACTTACAGGTCAACGTGCTATACTTACATGTTAACGTGCTATACTTACGATATAACGTGTTATACTTATAATTTAACGTGCTATACTTACAATTTATATGAACAGTTAAAACCCAACCCGAAACCCAAACAAACCCGACACAGAAAAAACCCAGAAAACCCTCGATGAGTCGACTCATGTTCAGTCGTGAGTCGACTCATGACTCATGGGTCGACTCATAAGGTGATGAGTCGACTCAGCAGAGACTTTTGACAACAGGAGTTGATATCATGAGTCGACTCATGACAGTCATGGGTCGACTCAACCTCATGAGTTGACTCATGATGATTTATAGGTCGACTCATGAGCTGAAAATTGGGTTCTTCGACTCTGCTGCTTGCCGACTCGTTCGACGCTACTCCAGGAGATTGACAAACTATATACATAACGTACTATACTTAATCCATTTCCAAACAATACAACATGCAAACAATATACAACATTGCATATCCAGGAGACACAAAACACTGCATATCTAAGAAAACATTGCATATCCAAGAGACACAAAAAAATCAAGAAGTTTCTTCAACCATTCCAGCACATACAACACGCAAACAATGGTTATTGTCTAAAATAAAGTTAACCATCAATATCAATGACTTAGAAGCATGCAAAACTTTACATAACCCAGTAATTTAACCACAGTGGCTATAATCTACCACAAAAGACACAAAACACTATGGACTACATAATCAACATATATTTATACAAATACTTTACAAATCAATTTCCAAAATATATTTGTACACAAAAAAATATTGGATATCACAATTGGCATCTAGCATCCGGGGAATTGGTCTTGAGGATCACGTTGATTTCCTGAAAGCAAAATATAAGCGGATCAAAAGAACAATAGACTGAATATAAGCGGTTCAATGAACATTACACTTATAGAAAATATACCTTTAGAATCGTCTCAAGGACCGCCATCGCCTGCTCCTCGGTCATCGGCTTCGTCTGCTCCGGTCCCGTGCAAACCCTAGCCTAGGCCTCCAACACTATCTGCTTCGGTCTCGGGATATCGGAGCTCCGATACGACGTCAACACCGCCGGATTCGGAGGATCCGAATCTAATTGCAGTCAAATCAATCCTCTCTGAGTAGAGAGCGGACCTCGAGGTCGAGCCCCGCCGGTTGAGCGAGAGGCCGATTCGGGGAGTATGAGGGCTGAGAGAGATCCAATCGGTTGAGCTTGAGAGGTTGGACTGTTTTAAAGGAGAGGTTTTGGTGAAATTAGGGCTATGGTTAGGGTTTGGATAGATGAGAGAGTTCATGATGAGACTTTGGGGGAGGAGAGCGTTAAGATTCATTGTTGGGGGTCAGGTCCTCTTGGGATGACGCTGTGGACTGACGAAAGGAGGGTGCTCTGAGAGGGCGACGGCGGCAAGGAGCTTTCGTCTTTTAATTTAGGGCTGAGTTGAAAAGGGGAAGATGAAGATATATAGTGGTTTATATGGGGAAAGGGGTATTTTGGGGTTTTTACCTTGATTTTGTATAAATACAAGTACTAAAAGTATTGTATTTTAGAGATTGGGTTTAAAGACAAATACCAAAAAAGAATTGGGTTTAAAGATACAAGTAATAGTAGGTGTGTTTAAAAATAAAGTGGAGTAAACAATTGGGCCTAAAAACAAAAACCCCTTTTTTTTAATAGCCCAGCCCGAAATTGAACTCAAGACCATGTCAAGACCATGAGAGTTATATTAATGGAACCTCCCAAGTTCCAACTATCCGGATCACTCGCAGTGAATTATATATGCCATCACCTTAATTGTTACAAAATATAGTTGTTCTCTTATGAATATAACGTTTTGGGTGAAATAAATACCAATTTAACCCATTTCATGAATGAAATGTGAATAATTAACCTCTCAACAAAGCTACTTGCTATATTGTAATTTGGTATCAACATGTGTTATGAACACATCGGAAAACATTACCGTACCTTTGATTGGGGTGGGGGGGGGGGGGGGGGGGGGGGGGGGGGAGAGGAATTGAGAATCTACCTTCAATGTAATTGCCTATCTCCTTAAGTCGCGTTTCGAAAAAATAGCCAGTAAACACTCAAGTCTATCTAACCCTAATCTCATGTCCATTCGCTTCCCTCTCTTCTAAATATGAAAAAAAAAAAAATTACTAAGCAGCTGAAAATACAAATTTACAAGATAGACCATGTGTTTCATAGAGACGAAATTACAAAATGACTCTCATCTACTTCCACCCGATGGAATTTCGTTGGAGTTAATTAAATTCTGAACCTAGCTAGTATTATAGATTTTCCCATGAAAATCAAGCGTCACAGATAACCCAAGTATCCTTTTTGTTAATTAATACCATCGAATACTACGGATTCGGATCCTCTCCACTACAAAAAAAAAAATGGTAGAGGGACCACTACATAATCACAACCATTGATTATCTAGTTGATGGTTATGATTTTTTCTTTTAGTGATTGATTATCTAGTTGATGGTTATGATTTTTTCTTTTAGTGCAAATTAGGAATGAGTGCAATACACGGAGGTATGGTAAGTGTTAGATTTAGATTGTATCATAACCGCCTACTAAATAATCAATGCTTGAGATTAAAAGTAGTGGTATCTCAACTACTTTTTTGTAGTGGAGATGATCCAAATCCGGAATATTACTACGTACAAACGATGTTTTCCCAAGAATCTTATAAGAACCCCCCAAAACTCCACAAAATGTACAATTAAAGACACATCCCCTAAGCTAGCAACGCTTGCCCACACAGTCAGATGAGCTCTTCCTCTTTTTGTCGTCCACCATCATCATCATCATCATCAGAAACAATTAATGCAGGCCTCCCTCAACTAGACCCAACACACTTTCTCCACTCGCTCACCTCACCCTCGCCGCCGACCTCCGCCTCCAGACCGACCCGCCTCGCCTCCTCCTCCTACTCCCCTCCTCTCCACTTCTCCCAAACCTCTCCTCACCGGTCCACTCCCTCTCCCCTCCCCGAAAGACCCTTACCCCTCGGCTCGCGCCTCCTCCTCCGATCCCTCTCCAAGCCTCTTCTCTTCGTCGCCGGCCTTCTTCGCCTCGCTAAACTGGGCCTGCTTTGATCTGAGGCTCAGAGATCTTGATGCCGCGTTGCTTCTGATGGCGATGTGCGAGGTTTACGATAGGAAGGAGCGGGGTTTGCGCGGGGGCGCGGGGTTTGATTGGCGCTTGAGGATTGCGGAGCATTTGATGGAGCGTACGCTCAGCGCTGCCGAGCTTGGCGCGAATGGGTGGGCGGTTATTGGACGGTCAGTTTTACGTTGGTTTTGGTGTGAAGCGGTTTTGTTTATAATACATATTTATGCGGGGAAAAAATTGCCATATACTAAGCTAGAACTCGTAGTTTCAGGCTGTCCGTGTTCTAATTTCTGAAAGGAAAATGCGTGTCTAACAAAAAAGCAGAATATTAGAGATCAACGAGAATACTTCCAAAAAAAGTGCAAAAAGTAATTTTTATTGAAAAATGCAAGTTGTGTTCTTAAATCAATTCTTTCAACGAATTAAAATAGCGTGTTAACAAAATGTAACTTGGATCGTATATATGTATGGTCAGACGAAAGCTTGGATCACTACTTTTGATCACAGTCCATTACAGTTAAGTGAACGAATGAGCGAGGTTACTGGTTTTATCATTTATGTATCTTTGCAGTTTCTTAATTTTTATTTTCGGGTGAGGTACACTAGACCCTGAGAATGTTGAGCATTAATTTTGCAGTGAACCCCAATAACTTCTAAAAACACATTAAACCCCCAGTATTCAAATTGTAGAAAACGTCCCTCAATAAAATTTTCCATTTTGCAGTTAACCCCCATGACATTGTCGGTCTGCATTTAAGACCACAACGTGTTGCCAGTGCAAAGTACGAACTGACGCCGTCGTGGGGTTATCTGGAGAATGTGAAAATTTATTAGGACTTCTAGCAATTCCGATAGTTAGTAGCTAGGGGTATAGTGTAATTTGAGAAGGTATTGAGGGTTTACCGCAAGACACCGAAAACTTCTTGGGATTTAGTCCTTCATTTTTCGCTTGGGACAATCGCAATTTCCCACTCAATTCATGATTAGTCTTTATATAACCGACAGTACACTGTCGCTCAACTTCAGGTACGTTGACACAGCATCAAAATGCCGGCGACTGCTGGAAGTAGTATCCGGCAACCGCCGACCCAGCGAAGAAAAGGCGGGGGCCGAGGTGGCTGCATCGGTGACCGCAGTGGTGGCGTTGCCATCAGTGGAGTGCCAACGAAAGGGATGGGAGTGCGTTATCTGCAAAGAGGAGATTGAAACTGGACGAGACGTCTGCGTGCTTCCCTGCGACCACGGATTCCACTGGGGCTGCATCCTGCCGTGGCTCCGAAAGAGGAATACGTGTCCTTATTGTAGGTTCGAACTTCCGACCGACGACGTGTTCTTTGAGATTGGGAGGGTGTGGAGATGTGCGGTCAGGATGGGGATGGGGGAAAATCCTATTATATAGGAAAATATCAAGTGCACCTGGATACTCATGGCATTAAATGTTCATCAAATGAATGTCAGCCCTTGAATCATAGAATTTTGAGATTTGTGCACAGATCCAAGGGTTCGCATACTTTGGATGTATATTTAATGTCATGGACTGTTGCCACCGGATACTCTTTTACTATATAGAAAATGATGCATATTTAATGTCATGGACTGTTCCCACCGGATACTCTTTTACTATATAGAAAATAGAAGATATGAGATGACTAACATCTACTTTAATTAGAAAAGTAGAATATGATAAGTGTCTCGCTAAGAGTCTAAAGCAATTGGATGTGGCCATCATGTTTAATATTTACACTGAAGGGCGTGTGTCGAAATACCGTATGTCCTTATATGCTTTTCTATGGAGAGTTCTATACAATAATTGTTTTTCATGAGAGGCAGAATTGTGATGGAGAGAGATGAGGTGGGTGTTTTTTTTTTAATTGATTATATATATATATTTTTAAATGGAGTGGGGGAGCTAATTAGTTAACGATAGAGATATTTGTGGTGACAATGGGAAGGGCAGAGGATAATTATGACTAAGGATGTGTTAAGGTAAAGGAAGAAATATGCCTTTTCTTTTTTTTCATGTCTAATATTCGTTGGAGCAGAACTAGAATATATGATTACGTTGTGGATTTGTTGATCAACCCAAATGCCAAATTTTTGGGATTTTGTTAATGTCGTTACCCTAACTAAGATTATTGCCAAGGATAATGCACCTTTTCTTTGCTTGTCTCAAGTCTGA